GCCGAAACCAGCGCCGCGAGTGCTGCAAACGAGGCTGCTACGATCTTCATGGGCAAAACGAAGCTGGCACGAGCTTTGCCTGGGAACTACAAAGGTCTTATATGCGCATTCGAGCCAACTATGAAGGCGAAGTAGCTCCCCCCATACAACATCCGTCGCCTGGTCAAGCCAAGAAAGTCTGCCCTGAGCAATGACCGGAAAGCCAGTATGTTGTTGTTCAAGAGCCCACGATCATTACCCCGCGTTCAGGTGAAACTGGATCGAGCAGGTGATGATTTCGTGTCTTTGCCATCACCTGGAACCCTTCGGGGATGCTTTGCGTTGAGCTATGGCATGTAAACAGCTGGCCGCTTTTCAGCCTAAGCTGTCAGCCGAAAACCCCCGAAAACCACAAGGGGGAGAGCGGCTTGGAGCAAGTTCCAGCACTGGTCTGGTCGGTAGCTTGGCAAACAACGAACATGCACTTTACACCGCTGTGACAATGCCCTGACCTTAAGTTCTCTCAAGTCCCGATTGAAATCCACAGCCAATCAGTCCAGGGCTAAGAATCGATCATCGATTAATCTGCCAAACAGCCCTCTCACGACGGGAAGCGAAGCCTGGAAAGCGGGTTCTGCTAAGGCACTTCACTGACCGCCACCCCCCGAACTGGATCAAACTTGCTGGCACTGGAGATGCAGACCACAGGCTTGCAAATTCCTGCACGACCAGGCACGGTCGTATGTTACCCCAAGCTAGGTGTAACTAGCACCACCACCACCACCAGCTGCAGCAGCACCTTCTTCTACCCCCTACTTACTATCCACTAGGGGCACCTACCACCTACCACATGCTTCTTACCACTAGGGACATACTACTTACAAGTTGCTGCGTTCTATTTGCTGCACACTATTTTCTACTTGCTACCACCACCACCACCACAACCAAAACCACCTGAACTCCGACGACTGCCATCATAGCCATGATGATGGTAACGGTGGCACAATGGGGATGATGATAAACACCATGATGACTAGGATGTTGATCACTGCATGATGACTTCAGCCAAGGAGCGTCCTACGGAAGCTCGACGGATGAAGAACTTGCCTCTCCGTGCGCAGCAACAGTGGCTGCAGCCAGAGACGTGACTGGACTACAACAGCTCTCGGAGCTACGTGCCGATCGCGGGCAATAGGGATGGTTAGAGTGACAGTGACTGCCGTCATGCAGCCATCTGTCAATTCACAAAGCCGCAAGAGCAGCGAAAGCAAAATCAGATCAACATGCCATCTGAGTCATGATTCATGAACCATCATGAACTCACGCCAAGCCCTTGAGATCCCCTCAGGCTAAGGAAGGGGCCTTAGTAATTGGAAAAAGGCTTTGGGGTACATGCTAGTATAATTATTCATACCGAGACTATCAGAGGATATTGTTGCTAATTATTCCGACCCCTACATTGGTCTCTCGCACGCAGGACTATGCTGAACAGCAGCTGAGCGCAGCCCGAAGGAACGACGCAGAGGGAGCCCGGCGGCCCGGCACCTCATTGACTCATGTCTTATGCCGATCTTTTCAAAGCCTTCAGTTCCATTCAGTTCCCGGGTCCTTCACGACACTTCTCGGGCGAGGACTTGTCGCTTCCACCGCAAGGCCCACTAGCAAAGCTGGCACATAGCGGCGCAGCGGCTGCGAGAAGAACTCCACCTGCAGAGTCGTCAATGACCGGAGGCTTCATGGTCATTAACTGAGCGGCTCTTACTTAATCTCGTACCGAAGGCCTGGCACTGACGAAGAAACCGAATCTGCTGAGACTGACCTTAAGACGTATCCTCATCAAAAAAGAGACATCAACTTGGTAGCTAAATAGACTTCCTCAGCTTCAACACGACATGCAGACTCAGCAAACACGGTCGAGCAGGGAATTTTTCATGCTCCACCTGACAAACTTCATGACTTGATGAGATCAGCGCCCTCTCTCAAGCGTCAGGCTAAAACAAGCCTTTCGAAGACATCCGCCCGACACGGCGCCTGGCCCTCGACTGGGATGAATCCGCGTGGCACGATACCTAGGGCTGTTTTGCCGGGCTGAGATTCGTGGCATGCACGGAGTTACCTATCGGTTTGGAATTCAGGAATGGCAATGTAGGTCATATCGCAAGAGCAGCTGATCAGCGATGCTGGCGGCTGTGGACTGCATACAAACGTCAGAACATGATTGGCATGTGTTGTCATGCATTGCGCATGGTCCTGCCTCCTGGCATGGCATCTGTAGTGGGGGCTGCCGGTCTGAGCAGAGTGAGGGTCAGCAGAACTCTCAAGCAAAACCCCCATCAGACTTGGGGGATATCTTGCATGTCTCGCAATGCCTTTCCATTCTCAACCTGGACAGACTGGACAGCATGCACCAGCGAAAGACTAGATTTCGAGAAGGTTACTGTGGATCCGTAGTTTGGGGTTGAAGGTTCAGGCAGCAACGATCTGGCCGGCGGCCTCGTCATGCCAGCTGCGTGATCCTGCCAAGCAGCTTTCGAGTGACGAGAAGACCTAAGACCCAGCCTATCCAGCCAGAAGCTTGTGGCAACTAGGCCGTGAAAAACCAAAGACGATCGGTTTGTTGAAGAGACGCTACTCTTTGCACGCTTTGGGCCTGCCGCATCGAGCTGCCCGGCCAGCCCTCCGTCTCCTCGCATCCTGGCTGTGTCCCACACGGCCAGGTGCCTGTGGGAGGCGCCTGGGCTGCCGCGGCTGCCGTGGGAGGGGCGCGGGAAGGAGGAGGCAGCGGAGGAGGCTCCGAGGGAACGGAGCGACTTGGCCACGAATTGGACTCCTTCGAACCAGCTGGGCGTGTGGGAAGCGAACGATGGCCAGCATGGCTAGGGTGGCTCTGGACCGCATAGGTGCCGGCTTGCCTTGCCTGGGTCTCAGCCATGTTGACACCGTGCTGCCACGGTGGCGGCTGTCTTGCAAAGGATGTGTGTGCCGAGCGTGGCCGCGGCGGCTGCGATGGGGTCGAGGTTCCAGAGCCAAGTGCAGCGGGTGCGTGCATTACCTGGGGATCTGCCTCCGGCATCCTGGATGATCTTTGTTTCTGCAGCTCCTCGGTTGAAGGAGTCATGAAAGGATCCAAGCAGATGTAAAGTAATGAGCACACCGTGTGCAGTGCAGGGACTTGCTGGAGGAAGGCATCCCACTCGTTCTGCCCAGGCTGGCATGGAGCCTATGAACGCATGTCAGAGGAGCTTGTACAGAGCAAGACACGGAGCCAATAACAGGCCTGGCAGGGTGCTTGCCATTCCATTTCTGCAACAGTCGGTGTGTGCGCTGGGCGAGAAGACTTCGCCTGCGGTCGATGCAACTGCGTGCTGCTCGCGACAAAAAAGCGAATGAGTAGGCACGACTCACTCGATCACACATGATTATGCACCTCTTGCAGCATCGCTTCCCATTCTTGGTCGGCAGCGCTGCCCGCCCTAACTGGCCCGCGAGCAGGCCGATGCGACGCCTGCACAGAACAAGCCATGCTTTCCCAACACAGCTGTAACAACACGTACCAACAAGAGCTTGAGTCTTGAGGTATGCCAAGCCACCTGCTGTTGCATCAACCCTGACCATTCCTGGTCTGCTCCGCTGGAGGCCCGATCAGCACCCATTCCACGTCGCTGAGGCTGCGCCTGCAGAAAAAAACTGTCATGTATCACGGAGGCGGCCGAAACGCATCCCTAAGGCTAGCAGCAACATGCATTCGTGGGTGGGATAGCCCTTCTTGTCCAATGCTGAAATAATGCCCGCCTGTTTATACTCGTTTAAGGCGAGTCTCTGTCTGCACTGTCTTGTGCAATGTGCTGCCGTCAAGGGCCACAGACACTTCGCACAGTGTCGCATCATGAAACGACACTGCGGATGCGGTGATTCAAGTACGCTGTGTATCAAGTGCTTCGGAAGCTCCAATATCGTTCGTCGCTCCAATCACGAAGATGTTCCATCGTGAATGCGTCTCGCTGCTCAGTGCTTTCAAGTTTGGAGCCAGCAGATCGCCACATATCGCCACGTTGCTTGCTGGCTGCTTTCATTTCGGCGTCGTCGTCACGGCAGCGCACAGCAACAAATCAAGAGAAAACCCTCAAGTGTACAAAACCAGACGAAGGCTTTCAAGACACACCGCCAAATGCTGGTCGCTTTCGAATGCCAAGCGCCCATAAGATGCCAAGCCACCTGCTGCATCAACGCTTCCCATTCCTGCTCTGCTCCGCTGGGAGCCCGATCCCCAGCCATTCCAGGCTTCGGTGGGAGTCGCTGGGGCTGTGCCTGGAGGCAGCACTGCCATGCAGGCCACTCAGGCGGCAGCCGTGCGCGACTGCAACATTCCTGTAAGATAGATCTTCCCAATGCAACATGCTTCTAGTGGCAACATATGTACATTCTCTCTTCAAAACGAGTCCGTGTGTATCCGAAAGTCAGACAATGGCTTTGAAGAAGTGTCGCTCATCGAGATGAGAGCATGCATGGATGCGTGGCACTCGCATAGCTTCAAGAGCCCATGAGATGCCAAGCCACCTGCTGCATCAACGCTTCCCATTCCTGGTCCGCAGCGCTGGGAACCCGATCCGCACCCATTCCAGCCTTCGGAGGCAGCCGTTGAGGCTGCACCTGCGTGCAACACCAAAGCGCATGAGTCGTAAGACTGCTGCAATCGAGAAACAAGCCTTGCTTCCGTTTGGTTTTCGCGCATTCCAACTTTTCAATCATCCGATGAAATCTGCTGATTCATTCCTCCCATTGCTGGCCGCTTTTGCGCTGTGGTCTGCTACTGGTGATCCATCTCTTCGAAATGCCTGATGCTATTTTGGTTTTCTTCTTGGAGTATGCCATTGCCCGCCTGCACGTCTGGCACAGATGGTCGGGGGGTTGCCCCACCCCGCGGAGTGGCGCCAGGTGTCTTACCAAGTGCACCAGATTCTTCGCTGCGCCTCAACTCCGTCGAGGATCGGACACAGCAACAATGAAACAGTAATGGTGCTAGCTCCTTGTAGCAGTAAAGGGACTCCAGGGCGCTTCAGCCGAGGCCAAGACCCGACATCCTCCAGAAGCGCTTCTCGCCTGTGCTTGCAAGGAAAGTCCCCGATGGAGTTCTTACACAACCTAACACCTACTTAACATCTAGCCTCCCAGACATGGATATCATGGATTCCTTGTTCCACAGGCAGATGCCCAGTCTGGAAGCCGAGGGGCGCAAAACCAACTGGCAGACCGAAGGAGAGAACCGCCTCCTCCAGGCTGTCCTGCCGGGGTCTGCTAGCCCAGGGGAGCGCAGATTCCAAGGATCTTGCAGACAGGTCACCGCACGGACTTTCTTCGCCGAGGGTGTGCGGAGGTAGCCTGCAAAATGCAAAGGCAATACCGCAGCATCCAAACAGCCGAAAGCTGCCCTTCGAGGTCAGGCAGCCTGCATTGATGGTGAAGGCCAACTCCGACGGTGTCAGCTTCTGCTTTACCTGGGTATACAAGATTACAGCCGCAAGATACAAGTCACACTCATGCATGCATGTATACATCCATGCATCCATGCATCCACACCATGCCGTGTCATGCCACGTCATGCCACGTCACGCCACATCATGCCGCGTCATGCCATGCCATACGATGCCATACACAGATGCTGGCATGCATGCTGCCAGCATGTACATGTGTTCCACTGGTTTCATGCAAAACCTGACAGGTGCCGACATCCTACACATATGATGCTGCAAGCATAGATCCCATGGCAGAACCTTCTGTAGATATACATGCACATACATGGACAAAGTTCAGCAATGCAGCCTTGTGTAACTGTGTATGCATGCGCTGCTGCTAACAGCGCACCATACACACATCAGTAGATGTTCAAGCTCATGCCGGCAAAGGCGAACACTACATTTAGACATGAGCACATATTCAACCTTCGAACACTGCATGCATACCCTATATATGCACCTGGATGCACAAGGTACACGTACATGGACACATGCGTGCCAAGCATGTCTACACTCTACAGATGCACGTAGCATGCATACTCACATAATTACGCAAAGATACACTGGTGATGTCGGCACATGTGGCACGTATACAAAGAACCAGAGCTACTCTGATTTGTCATCTGCCTGACATACCGTACGTAGCAACAGCCAAAAAGGATGGCAGATCTTCAGGACAGCGACCATGATAATGCTCAGCACGCCATCGGGCAAGCAGATCCCCACCTGAAACACGAAGTCGCGTGCAAGGGCACCAGAGGGCACATAAAGTCCGGCACTCCATCAAGCAATCTCAAAACAGGGGCTGCGACAGTCAGGAGGACCATGGGAGATCGCATGTTGACCTCAGTCTGACGGCTGACGAAAGCGAATCGCGATACTCCGCCATCTTCAGGAGCCAAGGTCCCTTGGAGAAGTCCCCAGCGAAAGCTTTACAAGGCGCGTACTTCTGGTGCGGGCTGCTCTCTCTGGAGACATCTTCTAGCCCTAAACTGCAGCCAAGAAGCAGTTCTGAACTGCTCAGGGAGTACCGTAAACTCCTCGAAGCACAGACACGGCAAGAATCTTGGAAGATATGTTGCGAGGTTTTGGCAACCCGTCCCCAATGTGCACGTTTTCGCGATCCGGACACATCAACACTGTAACAAGGGCATATGGCATATGGGCAAGGTCAAAACCTAGCAGAAGATTCCAGGGCGATCCGCAAGTTTACTTGTCGAAGCACCAGACGACCCCCCAAGACCCATCTTCAGGCAAGACTCCATGAAAGGTCGAGTAGTATCCTCGGAAGTGGCCATACGTCGAGACTGCACTCGCAAAGGAATGAAACTCATGTAAGACTGACCCAACATCAAGGCCTCTGTTGGGCCGCGCGCTTGCCAATCACAGCCTAAAATCGGCATGTATCACGACATCACAAGGCTTTGGTGGCCTTCGACAAAGGCGGTCACTTGGAAGAGGATCACATTTCAAGCTGAACGAAGCAAACCGAAAATAGATGCTTAACCCCTCGGCTGTGCTTGAGTTCGCAAGAAGATCTCCCTGTTGTCCTTGTCTCAAACTTGCTTCCACTCACTTTACTGGCGTGATGTGTGTCTCTTCGCCCGTGCACTCCGTGTTCCCGCAACCCTAGCCTCAGGAGCAGCCGGTTTGCATTGAAACTAAACACTACTATGCCCTTCGAAAGCTTTTGCGGGTCGCCTTGGAACGAACACCTCTTGCGCACTCTGTCTCGCGTTCTTTCATTAGCTAGCACCAGCCACGAAAAAGAAGTGCAACCGCAAGGGGCTGCAGCAAACCCAGGAAAAGCAATCGAAACAACAAGAACCTAGGTATCGTAGTTGGCGCCCTGCAGGCTTGCTTTCTCTTCTGTTCACTTACTCTCTCTCTCCTTCCACTCAAGCCGAGAGGGCAAACGTGTCGTTGCAAGAGACGTTCGATTGCAAACAGTCTCCTGCTGCCTCTGGCTTCGGGCTGGGGTTGCACGATGCCAAATTCAGAGCTCCAACTCAGCCACGCGTCGACGATCAGCTTGTACTGTTCCCGGATCCTCCTTGCATGCTCTTCCCTGCGCTTCCTTGGATCATGCTGACAGAAGGCACAGTCCTGTTAGGTGTTACAGTTGCGCATCAAGCTCCGTTTGCATTAAACTGTTTGAGTGCTGCAAGGTGGAGGGCTTCCTGTTTCGTCAGTACTTGATGTTACAGACTTGTATGCCCCACCTACCAGCAGTAGCCATCTTGGACGGCATGACCGGGGCCCCGCCGTGCGAAGCCGAGGCTATCAGCTCTACCACTTCTAGTGCAAACAGCAAAAGCGAAGATCCGCTAAGTGCATTCAAGACAACTTCATCTGTACACTGCAATCTGGTCACCCGACCACCGGGATGCCAGTATCCAGGTCCTGCTTTGCAGCCTCTGGCGTTCGGGCATCGCCGCACTCAAGCCGCTGTTGGATAGCTTGACACATTTGTCTGACTTGACCCTGCCTGTAGCATGCCTTCTGCATCCTCTTCCAGCAGTATCCGAACCTGAGGGCACAGGGTACGAAAGGCATCATGCCGGCTGGAACAATGACACATAACAGGACGGGAATGTATGGAGTGGCAGCTTGTGCCGATAAGCCCCCTCTACCCTTCTCTGCCAGGTGGTGATCTTATTTCTTCACCTGCCATTTCTTGCTGCGTCGGCCTGCATCTCCAGCATGTTCTGGAAGGTGTACTTCTGGCTTTTGAAGGTCTCGGCACAGGCAGCAGAGGCAGCCAGTTCCAAGTCTTGAAGCTTTGGGAGATGCACCAGCATCAGCAAAGGCAACTGACCAGCCGAGATACTACTGGCAGCATGTGGCCCTCGCAAAGCTTTTATCCTAGAAGAAGTTTCTTGGGACCGGACGGCCGTCTTGGCCATCTTCTCCGCCCCAGTTGTCACCCTCAGACAGGACTCGTTGGAGTTGAGTGTCATGTAGGGGAGATGTGAGCAAAAATTCTTTCCGGCAGCCCGCTGCCGCTCATCCAGCATTTCATGCGTCTTTCAGGGGTAACAGCCATTCCGAATGCGGCCATGTGGCTTTCGGAGAAGATGCATTGCGGCTCCTGCCAAAGCAGCATGTTTATGCTGAATGCTGAATGCCAAGATGTAGCCGAGCCAACATGTGCTGGATTTTCTCTGAGTCGTCGGATCGCAGACACCATGAAAGCCATAGCACCTTCTTTTCTCCAACCCCACAGCAGGCCTCAAATATGACAAGTTGGTTTGATATCCAGCTATATTAGTCTACCGAAAATGGACCAATACTGTAAAGGCAAACATGTTGAGTGCCTAACAACTGCTGCAACCCCTCATACCTGCACCTTGCTCTGATTACTGGCAGCCAGGATTTCATAAAGCATTGCCACTCACATTGCAACAGGACCATAACAGATTGGAAAAGGGCTTTTTTGTGTGTGCTAGGCCTGGTTGCCTCGAAACCCGCGCCACTCCGAGCTCTGACAAACTTGGGTGTCGGGTTAAAGTTCAGTTTTTGTTGGAGGAGCCCTTTATCCAACTGAGACTGTAGCCGAAAGCTCCTATACCAGGAGGAGCCTGAGGTTGGGGCTTCGACCACTTTAGGGCAGGGTCTGAGCCATGAAACAAACCACCAACTCTCCGAAAAGCTGGACGCGAAGATCTGAAGCTTTCGCGTAGCCTTTCAGGTAATACTGGCACTCCAGTACAGTACGTGTTGAGACCAACCGTCCTGGTGGTGGCTTCTGGGCCCGAGGACTGTACACCGAAGGCAAATTACAACGAATCTGGCTTTTCGGAACTAGTGGCCTTGCGATGTCAGGGGTAAGGTGGACTGAGGGCTGCTAGGTGACTGAGAGCTGCTGGAAGTGATGCCAGATGATTCGAAATATTCTTAGCCACGCATACTAACTTGTACGCACAACCGTATGTCCTGCTTTTCAAACCCTGGATCCAGATGATGCGCAGCTAGTAACTACATGTAGTCTCGAAGCTCCTGCCGATTTTGTGCTGGAGCTTGAGCCACTCTCTGAGGCTGGCTGAAGTCACGTCACAATCCCTTCGGGCCCATTCCCCTGGCACTGCTGGGACTTCTGACTTTGGTATCCGACTGAACATACCCAGAGCAAACGCTTTCAGCCCTGAAAATGACCAGGCGGGGATGAGAAAAATCCATCATCTCAACCCCCGACAAGAGCAATCGACATTCAACCATTGATACCCCAAAAGCCCTACGCTTTAGCATCTTTCACCTCGGTGCTTTTTTAAGCAACTCAGTTTGAGTTAGCATTACAAGATACTTAGCAGAAAATGGGATCATCCAGGAGATAACAAGACGGCAGTAACTCAGCATCCCACAACGCTGCCAACCACCTTCGTGAAAACTAGGAACCCAGCTCAGTATAGCGGAGCAGCTTCAAAAAAACGAGCCAGCTCTCTCAACTCTCTGCGACTTACACAGTCTGGTTTCTCTGACCCCCGCAAACACGAATATCATGCCGACCTGTGTTCTGCGTACAAGTCTTGCAACGTCTAGCCTTCTAGCCAAGCTCCGGGTTTCAGCAGAGTATGTGCAATGCAATGGACACCAGTTCCGGAGTGTTAAGTTGACCAGTCTTGGTCTGGCTTGCATTTCGCCACCGCTCGCAAGCGACATCTCGTCTTTGGGCGTCTGTGGGTTCGACTTGGTGCGTCAGAACCAGTGTACACGGGAGCTTCCGAGATTCAGAGGCTGTGCCACTTCTGGGCGCGGAGCTTGCTGCCGCTGTGCACTGCGTGCGCCAAAGCGCCCAAGCGCACCCTGAGACTCTTGAAACCTTCAAACAGGGAACTTCGTGCGCTGCAAGCATCCGGATTCCGAGACATGGACGAGATCGACTCTTGGCAGTAATTAATGGGTAGTTGTGCCGGGACAGCAGCTCGGGAAATGGAAAGAAGCTGCAGAGTTGGGCTGTCTACAGCACAAGACAGTCAATAGCTTCATCCATTTGTCAGTCTGAGTCTGCATGGAAAGATGCTCGAGTTTAAGCTGAATCTCCTCGATGGTGATGCCAAGTACATCCCTCTTCGATCAAGCTGGCTGTACGTTTCCGGTTGTTTTTGCTTAGAGCGGTCGATCTCTTCCTTAAACTCATGAATGCAACCAATCACCAATCGCAGGAGAGCAGTCTTGGTTTGCTCCGGTGCGACCTCGCCACCCTCCCCCTAGGGTTGGGTTGCAAAGTTTAGGGTTTCTCTACTTATGCTTCGGGTTTAGGATTTAGGGTTTGGTATTCCAGGTTGGTGCCATCGGGCAGGCAGCGAAACAGCAGGAGTTCACAGATTGAACGACCTGCTTCCACCGTCTGTAACTTTCAACTCGCAATCGGTTCAGCATACTCAGCATTTCTCCTCCGCCTCGTGGAAAAGAGGTCGTTCTGACGACTGACAGTCGGGGCTGTTCGGATTTCGGCTGGGGGTAGGCTTCAGGGTCTGGGTGCTTTGTTGCAAGAGAACTCGTTGTCATTGTATGGCTTCTGGTTCGTTTGCAGCTGCTTATCAGTTTTTTGAGCAAACAACAAAACTGGTTTGCGCCGACCTAAACAGCTAGATCTTGCTGGGCATCATGCGGTCACCCATCCAGAGCATCAGAAGCAGCGAGGGGAGCTCGGAGCTAGGTGCCCTCAGCGGTGTCATCCTAGCCTGGGCTCGTGGGTACGGGAAGACGCAAAAAGCAAAGAAAAAAACACACAAAGATTGTGCTTTGATTCGGGTCCAGATATCCAAAATTTCTCAACCAAAGCAGAATCTCAGTCGCTTTGCGCGGGATTGGGGCGGGGGGTCGCTGCCACAACCGGAAGAAACCAGGGCGAAGATGTGACCGAGCTGAGCGAGGTGCTGGATGAGTGGCCCGGGAGCCTCTGCCCCGGTTGTGGGAGATGCCACTGTGGGGACCCTGAAACGTGTAGTCCAATAGTTGGGCTTTCGCGTGGGTTGTTGTATGTTGTTGTCGTATGCTTATACCGCGGACTATAAGGGAACAAACTTACTCATTATAGTAGCCAACAAGTCCGGACCCTCTGCCGAACTTTGGATCTTCGTTCGGCGCTTGCCTGGCTTTGGGCATTCCCTCCAGCTTCTTGTTGGTGGTCCTCTTGGCAAAAAGTTCTTCAGGAATCCAGAAGCTTAGTCCGCAAGCCCTCCCGCTTGAAAAGAGCACATGGTCAACACTGCGAGATAAGAACACCCACCCCAAACTTCAAGAAGCTGCACAAGAAAGAACTCAGCGCTGGCATCGCAGTTGCACCCAAGCCCCACTTCCGGATGTTTGGAACACACTTGAAAGTGCACAACCCTGCCCAGAATCTGGGCGTGGAGCTGAAACACCAAGAGGATGTCCTGTCATGAGGTCCAAGGAAGGGAACCTCATGGCTATGCCGAGAAGGACAAAGCATACTGAGGGCCCATGAAGCGGATGCAAAACCTGCCGGGAGAACAGTCTCGGTCTTCAGCAGCTGTTTCATCACATCCACTTCGCCTGGGGTTGACTGCAACGTTAACACGCATTCGAGCTCTGAGGGTCTCCGATATGCTTCAGATTACCTGGGTGAGAGGTCGGACGGACCTGTGCGAACTTAGAGTCACGCTTCAGTAGTTTGTCTTCACCGTGCATATGGAACCTTTCTACTTATGGTTGTCTGCTGTGACCGCAAGTTTCGCCTCACCGTTGTTGGAACAGGTCACACATACGCTATCCGATGTCGGTCACGGCATTCGAGGTGCTGTGTCGCTACCTCACCGTGCATGAATGACGCACAAGATGGGGACCATCACGGAGAACTGGAGCCGCTCACTGAGATCCCGGCACTCACCGTTGACCGAGCAGATCTGATCCTCCTTCACCACCTCGGACAAATCCATTTTATCAAGCTCGTTCCTTCGACTGAGATTGGTTCGTTACATTCGTGAACAAGCATGTAGAACTGCTTCAGGGCAAGAGGGATATTCAGAAGTACATGTCACATTTATGAGCAAGCTTCAGTCATAAAAGAAAAGAGAATGCAAGGAACAGAGCCAGAGCCTGCAATTGCATCGCGTCTGCACTGCAATGCACATTTTGCGATTGGCAGCTCGAACCGCCAGAAACTCATCGTGGAACGATGTGCCCTCCATGTGTCAATAGAAGCATGACGATATCGACCATCTCATGCAACCTAGAGCCCTAATGACCCGGTGGCGACCACTGTCCCAGCAAGCCAGCACCCCAGTGTGACCTGTCTTCATAAGAGTACAGTTGTCACCACCTGACATACAAAGTGCTCGTAGCAGTCTCCTTCTTGTCTTGCTGCGTAGAGTAATATTTTACGCGAGAGCCTTCTTCTTCGGTAGAAAGGACACTGCCAGCACAGCACTCTGCAACCAAGATTTCGGAGGCACAAAGGCTTCAGAAGTTGGATCTCTCCTTCGCAGACTTCTGAAGCCGTCAGCACCACTTCGCGAAAACATTACCAGGGCCACGAAGTCAAGATCTCATTGAAGAACTGTTTCGGGAATATTGCCTCGGAGCATTGTCGCCTACGATCCGCCTATGGTGTTTTGCATTGCTCTCGTGGCCCGGCACGATCTGCCGAGCAGATCGTAGCTGCTCAGAACGAAGGAGCTGTCCAAGGGTATACAATGAGGCTACACGGTGTGGCAGCATGCAACAGCTACAACTTGAACAATTTATGAGGCACTGGAGAGATCTGCAAAGCTTGATCCTGATGTTAGGCTGGTCGACAACTCCTTCGGACCCACTCATTCAAAAAAAGATTTGCACCAGACCAGGCGGCTGTGATGAATGAAGGCCTGGCGACAGCCACGGAAGTCGCTGCGGGGTGCACTTTGTAAACATGTAGACCACCCACGGAAGCATCCCTTTGCTGCTGAGGGCATCTTTCGATAGGTGCGGCAAGTTCTGTTTCTGCCCCCTTCGTACCAGCCTAGACACGATGAAGCCCAGACATACTGAAGACACCTTCCATGCCTATGCGCCATCCTGTTTAGCGAGCGCAGCAAGGGCGAGAAGAACATGTCTGAAGTCGGAAGGCCCGGACATTCTGGGGAATCGAAAATACTGAAACTTGAGACCCATCAGCCAAAAACACCCACCAGCCTTCTCAGGCTTTCAGAGAAAAGCGCGTCTCGCCTCGTAGGACTAGAACTATCCCAGCGATCTGTGCACAGAGTTTCGATCAGATGGCTCATTACAACCTACAGGGCACTTCCCATGTGACCTTCTACAAGCTGACATACTGCACTTCCTCTCACACTCACACCACATCCGATCTCTCTGTGACACTCTGTTCATCTTTCTGAGGCACCCTTCTCGAAGAAGCCCACAATCTGGTTCGCCGCCGCTACGCCGGCGTTGTCATTTGCCTTACATGCCGCTGGACCGACGCATGACGCTGAACGCGAAAGCCTCCAACTTGCCGCTGGACAGACACGCAGGTTCTGCTAGAAATGGCAAGGATGATACTGACAACCGTATGAAGAGAGTGCGTATCTGAGGCTTGCTCCTCGGCTGTCTGGGCACCCATCTTCTTCTTCGTGAAGATCAACCTCTTGCCATACCTCAGGTCGAACACATGTTCGTTCAGGAAAATACGGGGGCTCGAACGAAACAATTCTTCTACATAACGAACACCAACAAACTTAGCTCTAGTCAAATGTTACCAAGATATACCAAAATTTCACCATCTACTACTACTACTACTACTACTACTACTACTACTAGTATTAGTACTAGTACTAGTACTAGTACTAGTACTACTACTGCTACTACTCTGCTCTCTTGTCATCACAATTATTCAGAATCAAACTGTGGTTAGCCTTAGCGCAGTTGGCACGCAGCCATTTATTGTGCATGTAATATTCGTGATGGCTGTCTTCACCATAATCTTTCTCAATACCAGCATCATCAGCATCATCTTCATCATCGTCATCGTCCTCGTCATCATCATCATCATCGGTTGATTGATTCTCCTCCTACTACCACCACCACCACCACCAGACACCGCTGTTGCGAAAATACCTCGTCCAAAGCCACCGGACGACTCACGCCACGTAAACCTACTGAAACTGTCGTAGTACTAGTATTCGTACTACGACTAGCACTAGTACTACGACTACGACTACTACTACTACTACTACTACTACGACGATGACGACTACTAGTACTACTGCTGCTGCTGCCACTACTGCTACTACTGCTGCTGCTACTACTACTCCACTGCGCCTGCGGCTGCGGCTGCAGCTGTGGCTGTTCCTGCTCCAGCTCCTTTTCCTGCTACTGCTCCTGCTCCTGCTCCTGCTCCTGCTCCTGCTCCTGCTCCTGCAGCAACTGCTGCTGCAGCAACTGCTACCGCTGCAGCTGCTCGACGACGATGACTATCGATACCTAAAAACGTCGCAGCAGCAGCAACAGCAGCAGAACTCGCAGTCGTCGTAGCAGCCTTAAGTTATTCTCAAAAGATGTCATGATGCTTGTCGCCCACCGCGGCTTTGAAGGGCTCGATGTCCTCATGCATACGCTTCTCGAGAGGCAACCAAAGCCCACAAATAAAAAAAAACATGGCTCATGTGCATGAGAATACAAGTCCCGGCCGGCATGGACACAAGTGGCAAAAGCAACCGGAACTCGGCCTGTCCGAATACAGCCAGTGACTTCATCAAAAGTTGAGCGCTTGTTCGGGGGATTTCAGTCAGGCACAATGAGCTCATCGTCCCTGTTAGCTCTCTCTGCCCGGCTTCAGCTTTGGATGACTTACTTGCTATCTAGCCAGTCGTAATCTCTCTATCTAGTGACTAGTGGTGCACCTGTCTTGACGTTAGTGTGTGTGTGTGTATGTATGTATCTATGCATGTATGTATGCATGTATGTACGCATGTATGCCTGTATGTATGTATGTATGTATGTATGTATGTGTGTATGTATGTATGCATGTATGTATGTATGTATGTATGTCGGTATGTATGTATGTATGTATGTATGTATGTATGCATGCATGTATGTATGTATGTATGTCTGCATGTATGTGTGTATGTATGTGTGTATGTATGTGTGTATGTATGTGTGCATGTGCGAATGCCTGTATGTATGTCCGTATGTATTATGTATGTATGTATGTATGCATGGACGTATGCCTGTATGTATGTATGTATGCATGGATGTATGCCTGCATGTATGTATGTATAGAAGTAAGTATGCGAATATGCATGCATGGATGGAGGGGGGGATGGATGGATGGCCGGCTGGGTGGATGGATGGATGGATGGATGGATGGATGCATGGATGGATCCCCATTAATATGTATGCGCGTATGTATGGGTACATGTCTGTGTGCATGTTTGTACGTGTACGTGTGTAGCTCTATCTATATATATATATATATATATCTGTGTATGTACATATGTACGTATGTATGTAAGTATGTATGTATGCGTGCATATAAGTGTATACATATAATACCAAGGGGTTATAACATATATATATATATATATATGTGCGCGGATATGTATGTAATCATTTGTATGTGTAGACATATACATATATAGAGAGAGAGAGAGAGATTTTGTTTGTTTGTTTATGTGTTGGTTCACTTATGTTAAACATGTTCCTATTTTTAGATACAGACATCTATATATATATATACATGTACAGACACACATAAAATATACATATATATATATACGATATACGTATATACACATTTGTTTGTTTATTTGATTTATTGGCTTGGTGGTTTAAGTATCTATTTATACGTACGCATTACATGTAAGCAAGTTCATGCCTGCATGTGCAGTTTGAAAACGGTCCAAGAGTGCAATCCGTGCAAAGACTGCACGAGCTCCTTGGGCGCAACGTCGCAGAGGTAGCAGAAATCAGGCCGGCTTTTGAGAACCTGGCAGAGCAGAATACAAACACATTGTGCTCTGGTTGGTGTGTGGGTCCCTGTCTGGGCTTTGCTGGATGCCGTGAGGCATGTTTTCTCCATCAGGCCCGACACAAAGGCCAAGGTCAAGACAGAACAGCAGGGTACTACATCCTGCACTCGGCGCACAGCTATCTGCCAGTTTCATTCATGAAGTTCATCACATGGACCAATTCGTCTGGGCGGAACTTAAAGTTCCAGCCTCGATCATGTCTGCTTCGTGCACCACCTCACGTCCACAGGGCACGGATCCATGGGTGGATGATAATGTGATTGTGGGGTCCATGCAAAGCCTTGCACCTGTAAGGAAGCATCAGCCGGAAATGTGATTTCAACCGCAATGAAAATCATCAAGATGTCAAGTGGTCCAAACTATCACAACGTACCATAGTGGAACCGGAAGCACTGGAGGCCGCCCTTCCACCGGATGCTTCGGGCCTCCAGTCGTGCGGTGTTGATCAGGGTGCCACCCTTGGGCATCTTTCCCAGCAGCTCCTGGACTGTTTGGGGCGCATCAAGGGCCGTGACCCTCACGGAGCGCTCAGAACTGACAGCTGTTACGGGCACTTATGCCCAGATCGTCAAAAAAGGGATGGGGTATCGAAAAAACTACCATCGAGGCTTGTTTGATATAGGAGCTGCGGCCTTTGTTCCGGACCTCCCCTTGTCTCGTTGAGTCAGTCGCCGAGAAAGAGTCAGCCACACCACAGCTGATGCTGAGGCTCTGCGGCCCTGAAGCCATCCGGCTCCGCTGTATGACTGTAACTACTGCTGCCACTGGCCACTGACGACCATGACAACATCAGAACAGCGTGACCACCCGTTAGTTGCACATTGTGTAGGCCGTTCTGCTAAGCTCAGTCTTTGCAGCCTAAGGAGTGGAAAGTGCTAGATTGCGTCTTGACTCGTCATTCCTGCTCTGCATTGGTACACCTTCCAGCATCGCTCTTCGTGTCACATCTGGTTTCGTCCTTCCCTTGCTTGCCATGTGCTTTTCCTGCCCCATGCATTATGCACACGGCGCCTGTGTGTGTGTGTGTGTGTGTGTGTCCGTGGCATCATATTATCTATTGATGCCTGTGGGACTTAGAGCAGCAGCGACCCTGGAAAGGAAAGCCCATCATGCATCACAAGCTGAAGTGCCTTGTTGATCGAGGCTTTCGTCTCGTCGGTGAGAGGCACGTGGAGGGAAACCTTCACAACGAGACACTACTTCACTACGGAAAAAGGATATGAAAAGCTTCAGGAAAGAATTCGAAACGGACCCGGTGCAGCAGCCGTTGTCTAGAAAGGGCTCTCGAAGCTCTGAGACCCCAAACGCCAAGCGGCATACTGGTGTTCAAAGAGGCCCGCGACAGTCTCAACCGGCTCAGCCCCCATCTCCTCTTGAACGATTGGGGTTCTGAGTCCCGAAAGCTTTGCTTCCTGATGTTTTTGGGGCAGCTCCTTCCACAGAAAGCTTTGCACAGTCGCTCTTAGCGTGAAACAACTCTGATAACGCTGCCAGACGAGGTATCGAATGAGCCTTGATTTTGTCGGCAGGGATGTAAGGATCGTAGGCAAAGCTCTTCATGCCAAAGCCTGGCTACCCAAGTCACTCAAAGCACTGGCGGTGCGATTTTGTGAGCTCGAAAGTGTGCCAGCTCACAAGCCCTTCCAATAATGGAGACCTTGCGCCAGCTTGTGCACAGCACGAGCCACTGCTCCGAAGCCGTAGAAGGCGATCTCACGGTTGACCTGAAAGACATCATTCCAACATGAGAAATGTGTTGCTGATGCTGATGACGATGATGATGATGATCATGCTGATTATGATGACGACGATATGATGATGATGATGATGATGATGATGATGATATTCGTTCGTTGCAATGATCATGACCACTTTCATGACCAAAACTACCCTGACGAGGTATGTTGCAACTGTCCTGGCTGTCGTCCTTGTGCTGGTACAAGCCGTCAGCACCCCAACAAGCAGCAACAGCGGTAGCCCTTTCATACGCATTGCTGGTGTCATCGTGGTGTTCGGCACAACGCAACTACTGCAGGCCAAGAGCCAGCTCGAAACCACTGGTGCCATCGAAGTTGTTGCGGGCACTAACGATCATCATGCCTCGGATCCAACCGATACGAGGCTTCAGGGGCTTGGAAATAGCGAAGTTGCGGCCTCTTCTTGCTGAAGGCCGTAGCTGCAGGGTTCCAAAGGCAATGCGAATAAGCGGAATGCGCAGATTCCAGGTTGGCCGAGGCACCAAAGACGAGCTCCGCCACGGCATTGGCGTTCTGACCGGGGGTGTTCATGGCCTCAGTCACCCAGCGACCCGAAAAACCGTTCAACTTTTTGAAGGGGTGGACTCTGTTCGTGACATAGACGGATCTCGAATCAGTTAGAGTGTGGCTGCCTCTGGCACGTGAAAACAAGCAAAAACACAAACGACCACTTTGAATCCTCCGCACCATCCCTCTCTACTATGAATACGAGTTCAATTAGTCAGAGAATTTCGGAACCTTCTTCTGTACGACAGGTGATTTTCTCGAGCTCTACACAATGCCTCACACGAGAAGTGATAAGATTCGCCCGCAGGACTCGACGTCGGAACACGTTGGAGCGAAGCCTGGATATTTCCGTCCTGGGTCACCCGGCAGTGATCCCCTTGCCCTCGCAAGCCTGGCAAGAAGAGAGCGCAAGAGCATGGGACCGCCAAGTGCTCAATGCATTAGGGCTGAGATGAAGCCTTGAGATCGATGTTGTCGTATCCAGCGCCTGGGAACTGCATGTGACAAGAACAGGTAAGCAAGCACAGTCTAAGACCCGTAGTCTTCCAAAGCCAGCCGCTTCAAACCAATGCCCTGCCTGCACGAACCACGATCTTCATCTTTGCAGCCTTATCCAGCACTGCCTTCGCAAATGGTGCCAATCTCGAAAGCCAGGTGCACAAACGGCTCAACACGAAGCCTGATCCACAATGTCGCTTCGGATGATCATAGCATCGGCATCGGTCACAGCTCCAAGAAGATCTTCCTAACAGGGATTCTGGCATGCGCAGTGAGTGGCACGACAAAAGCTTCCAACATGCCTTGCGGCTTGTGGCTGAAGTGTCCTCCCAGCCTTTAGTCGGGAACGTGCAGGCAGAGCCCGGAAACGAATGACAAGTAAATGAAGCCAACAATATGATGCAAAATGCATTGTCCATCGCAAATGCGAGAAAATGTGAAAGACAGCGCCCCTAGAAATGCCAAAAGCCTACGACCCCCTAGTGCGAAAAATTGGCCAAATCTGAAGCATGCGACACATAGGGAGTGTGCGATCACGACCTGGGTTGGTGATTGTCGGGTTTTTATTGAACAACCAATAGTATCGAAGCATAGCAAGCTGGCAACCAGATTCCGAGACCAGAAAGAATGCTTCAAATACTGTCCGCATTTTTGCCTACGTTAAACATTCTCCAAATCACGACGCATTTATTTTGCATTTGCAATGCGCCGATGCAAATTCTATCACCATGTGATAATGAAAAGCCGAGGTTCTGCATGGATTCCCTAGACTGGATCCCTCATGACTTCCACTCATTTCGGCACTGCGAAAGTCCTTGCTCTTGTAGTTTTCGAGCTTCTTCAGGGTGTAGTTCGCAGCCTCTCAATTGCCGCTCAGCAAAAGGTCGTCAAGTGACGAAACGACACGGCCTTGAGGACATCTTCGATTTTTGTCACAGCGGCCGCCGCAAAAGCCTTCCAGATCATGATCATCCGGGCGTGCAGACTCGAAAGCTCCGGCCTTCTCGGTGGCCAGCAGAACCGTCCTTGCCTTGCCTGCCTGGCAGAGCATGGCGCGACGAAGAACATCCACAGGATGGCAGATGGAGCAGACAAGCTGCCGGTGCCTCTCCAGCCATGGTTGCAGGTGCTACGAGCCGGCAATGTCCCAGTGAACACTTCTAAGCCAAAATCTCGGATGCATGCCATCAAGCCTTGCGAAACAGCACCTTCCGCGTCATCCAGCAGCCTTGGTTCCCTTCCTCCCTTGTTGCCCTGAACCTAAGCCGCCGCCCCTACGAAAGCTCCACCACAACCCCGAACGTCCTGGTACCTGTTGGTACATTGAAGGCCGCCGAATCAAGCACCATCAAACAGCCTTGCTTTTGTACTCGAAAATGTCTACCGTCATCAGATCCATGTTTACTAGCTCGTCCAGGCTTATGCGCCAGAGGCGACGAAGCAAGGAATAGAACTGGTGCACTCTGCCTGCCGCAGGTAGCAAAGCGATGGGCGAGGATGTCGGAGCCTGCAGAATTTGAAAGCCACAACGTCTTTTCACAGCCAGGCGGAACAAGGCACGGTGCAGCTGGCAAATTTTTCGGAAGGCCTAGGTTCAACTAGACTTGCACTGCTCTAGCACTGACCAAGGGCCTCTTTTTATACCGTGTTGCATCTGTTAGGCTCGCGGCTAGCCGGAGGGGCCCTGGCTTAGTAGGCTAGTCCGAGCGCAAAAGAAACCCCCCCAGCTAGGCTTGGTGAAAGTTTAGTGAAACCTGTTTGGAAAGGCCACTAACTGGGCTCTACGGAAAGCTGAACAAGCTTAGGCAAATCCTCAGAGGCTGAGGATGTGGGCCTCGACGTTTCGGCTAAGCTGAAACTGAGGCGAAACCCAGCAGAGGCTGCTGAGGTTGTGGCAACTATGTAGTCTGGCTTAGGGCAGGCTAGACGTGCAGTGAGACTTGCAGCAAGCAATGAGACGTAGGAGGCTTCACTGGGGCTAAGAGGAAGTTCTGAGAAGACGGAGTAGATCACGTACCTGGCGCAAACGGGTGAGGGAGGGCTGTAGGGCGGACATAAGGCCAAGGCGAAGTCAGACCTGAGGGTCCTGACTTTGCGGGAGACCCTAGGCAAAGCTGAATACAGCGAGGCTGAGGCTGAGGCACCTGTGAAGGCACGGTACCTGGATGTGGGTGGGCGGGGCTTTTCGAGATGTTCAAGTGCTAGAGCCAGACACTTCGGCAGTGTACAGATTCACAAGGCTAGTAAAACATACACGAACAAAAACGTGTAACGAGTTGTCCGTCACGGCGAGATGTGCGAGTTTGGATTTGAGGTTTACGGTTCAGGTTTAGTTTATTCTCCTATAAAGTCGAAGTCCGTGTGGACGTGCTGGGTAATGCTTCTTAGGTGGTACAGGCCGTGCCAATCACAGGCCCTTTGCTTTTGTGCCCTAGCGGCCACAAGATGTTCTTTCCTGACTCAGCAATCGAGGCATGTGATTCCGCATACAAGAATAGCAGTCCCCCCTGGTGCCTGCAATGGATTTTTCTTCTCTGTGCTGTGATTGTCAAGACGATGAGTTGGAGATGCCTCCCGTGAGCCCTCGGAGGCTCTGTGCAGAAAGGCCGCGCTAGACCCCTAAGCCCCCCGATCAAGGGAAAACTGAGAATGCTGTGGATGTCAAAATGGTGAGGCCAAACACTCACTTGCTTCCCTTGAGGTGTCGGAAGCTCTGCAGCAAGGTTTTACTTTCATGCTGTGCCTGAACACCCGAGATGCTCTCTGTGACTGCAGCTGCCTGGGCGGTCTCTGTGGCACGGAGGACAATGGAAACTGCCTGCGAGTGTCCCATCTCTTGTGCTTCCAACAAGTGCAGAAACACCTCCAAGTCAGATCAACGGAAGTCAGAGCGTTGGAGTTACTCCACTTGGGGCTTCGGCGGGCGCAGATAGGAAACCTACAGTCCGGACACCGTGAATCGTGCACGCGTTGAGACGCTCCAGGGAATGCAACCTAAACCACAGTACCTAAACCACAGTCGGCAGCTCTCAAGCACAATTGAGACATTCCCATGACTAATTAACTCTGACTAGTCCTCCAATGACGCAGGTCCGGGGTATATGGTGATTGGACCATGCCTCAGGGAGCGTCAGGGGAGTGGATAGTCAGCCTCAAGTAAATTTCTCCCCATTCGTCGATGCCTGATACCGTCGCATGGTGGTTCGACAAGGCGAGCACTTTGTCCCCGGGGAGTAGCTCCGCCGAGAGGAGCAGGATAGTGCTTTCAGCATCTTTCAGCACCACCCTTCGCTTTCTGATCCTTGCGAGGGGCCGCTCCAAAACACCACCGGGGAGTCGTCCTGTCCGGCGGGTTCAGCTCCTTTGGTGGCCAACACTTGATGGTAAAGAGCAACAAACATCGGAAGAAGAAGCCGCGCCAATTCCGGCTCGTTCAGACTCGTTCATGTGTGGCATGACGACGAAAGATGGGCGTGCTGAAAGACTGAAGGCGGGCTACACCTCGCCGCTAGCTGAAAATGCCGGTCTAGCATCATGTTGCGGGCCACGCCTAGGTTTACAGTAGGGTTCAAGTTTTATGGGGCCCAGGCCACCTATCTCACTAGAAAGACTTTCCATGCAAAGCGACTATAAACGGGTTTCCATGAGGCTTTGTGTAGTGAGCGATTTTCCTAGGGCTGGGCACCTGGACGGCGTCGCACCAACACCTTGCTCTGGCTGCGAAGCTGCTCTAGTGTTGGACGGAGTCGCACCAAAAGCCACAGCGGACGATGCATCATTTAACATGCCTACAAAGTGTTCTGGATATGCAGTCATAGTCATGTGCATGTGCGTCAACCGCATGTACAATGATATGTGTGTGTACATGCCATGAAGATCGAACTGGTCGCTGGTTTCGAGCCTGACCAACAATTGGATGCGGGCTGCCGATTAATTAAACAGGCACCTTGGCCGCAATGCAGATGAATCCAAAACCTCCTTCCGACCTTGAGGAAGAACTTCGGAAGCTTCGTGACGACAACCGGGTCGCGCAAAAATGCAGCCAGTAGACGAGCAGTCCCCTGATCCAATTTAAAGCCTAAACCCCTACTATAGTCTTTCCATGTACTGTTAAAATAGGACCCAGAAAGCCGGAGGTCAAGTGACAACAGGACTAAAACGGAACCACCGGCAGCACCCCCACACCACCACCGACAAGCTGAGCATCAATGAGGACCGAGTACAGCATCTGCTGTCAACGAGGCCGCTTAACGCAAAAAAAGAGGAGTGGAGTGATTAGGTTTGCTGCAGTATTGGCAGGCCGCCACGAAATTTTCGGCCTCTCGCTCTCTTCTGCGTTGTCGCATGCTACCCCCGGTTAGATGTTTTCTTGCGAAATTTAAGTTGGAGCGGCCCCGAGCTATGGCCGCATGAGGCCTTGCAGCGCTCTTCGGTGATCTTTGACCCGGCCACGGTGATTGCTGCCGAGGGGCGGCCACTTTCATTGATGCGCAGCTTCTCGGTGGTGGTGTGGGGGTGCTGCCGGTGGTTCCGTTTTAGTCCTGTTGGCACTTGACCTCCCGCTTTCGGGGTCAGGCTGAAAAATAATTGGATCTTGATAAAGATCCAACTATTTTTCAGCCTGAAAGAAGTGAAACAAGCGCAATCGGGAGCTAAAGTCGCTCTTACAGCGACTACGGCTGAGTTGACTAAGGTGGCAAGCATGGTGACCCAGTCAACGCTAACTTGCTCCACCATCAGTTGGCCAGACAAACTGTACAGGGGCCAGAGACCTACGGCTCACTCAGCAGCAATGGGAAACAGAGAGGGGTCGCCACCCCAAAATGCCCAGAGTAAGGGTGCCGAGTCCAGGCGATGCCGGCCGTCGTTCTAGTCAGGGTTTGCCTGAAGACCCAGTCTGGGCTTCCTAAGCCACCTAGCTTTATCTCGTCACTGCCAGGCGACCAGAGGAACTCCGCGGCCTCCGAGTAGCTGCCGACCACGTCCGCTCCGCCAAGAGGCTGAGCATGGCACCCGTGTAGCTGCGGAGAACCTAGACAGGCGTAACGGTGCCGGCACCATGGCCGCCAAGGAGATGCAAATGGCGCCTACGCACCCGCTGTGCGGGTGTTGCAGATGCGTACTCCGCGGGAGCCGCGAAAAAGGGCGCTGCACGGTAGTCCTATCCATAGGTTGCAGAGGGAGGTGGAGCATGGCATAAGCTCGCTGCACCAATATCCACAAAGTCCAAGGCAGAAAGTCCAAGGAAAGGCGGGTCTACACGTCCAACCAAATCACTCCACTCTTTTTTTGGCGGCGGCGGTCTCGTTGGCAGCGTCAGCTGCGCTCGGTCCACGCGAAATAGAAAACACAGCGAAATAATAAACATCGAAAGCGTGAAACAAGTTAAGCACTCACTATCTCAGGCTCCAAGTCGTCAGACTAAGTCGGTCAAAGCTCGTTCAGCCACTGGCCTCAAAAGCCGTACAGTAGGCACGCTAACTATTCAGCAGCCTGACACAAGAGCAGAAGAACCAAATCACTAAATCACTCCACTCTTAACGCAAGAACCCTGTAGTGTTGCCACAGGTTTACTGAACGACGTTTGACAGAGCTTCCCTTTCGATAGGGGGCAATGGATTTCAAAGACCTTCCCCCCTTATGCACATATACAAACTGAAGGCAAGACCCGTCAAGACTCTGCCAATATCTGCCAATGCAGGTTCGGCCATGCTCAGGCCGCAACATCGATGCATTGTGTTGATCCACGAGGCCTCCTCCCCTCGGCGCAGCAGATCACAGAGAGTGCTTCGTCTCACAAAGGGCTCTGAAGTATCGTAGTGGCGAAGTTTGGGCACGAGAGAGGTCAGCCGATCGGCAACAGTCTTTACGGGTCTGTAGCGAAGCAAAGTCGATTGCTCCCAAGGCACCAATGGACGGGAGCAGTCTGACTGCACACCGTCAAGACTGCCCAGAAGTCAGAGGCATCATGGTCAGCCATTTCAAAAGTTCAAAGTTGACTTCGCTCCTGCCTGATAGCTCCTACGGTGGAAGCCCAGGCAGGGCTTTGCCCTTGGATCACACCGCTGGGCTGCCAGGGACTGGAGTACCGAAACCGATGATTGGCGTAGCCTCATAT